GTAAGGGATTCTCCTTGCCTTCCAATCCGATGGCTGACAAGTCATACCCCGTGGGCTGGTCGTCCACCTATGATCAAATCATTCTCTTCGCTTTTAATTTTATTTTATTCATATATTTATTTTTTGACGCATAATAAGCAAAAATCTAATACAAAAGGGGAAAGAGTAAAATAAATTTTTAAAAAACTAATTTTTTAATTTTTATTTTTTCTACATTAAATTAAACATAAAATATACTAAAAAACTACATAAAATTATCAGCAGTTAAATTTAGATTGAATCTAACGAATTAGAATCTAATTAACTATTTTCGTATCCAAACCAATTCAAAGTTTTATAAAATTTAAAATTTATATATATTAAAACATTCTGAATCTGATAAATAATTTGAAATTCGATAAAAAAATCTGATTTAACAAAAAAAGATATTCTTCTACATTTCAATCTCTTAATTCTACTCCATCAATTATATTGATTCCTAAATCTTTATAATTTTTTAAATTTAATTTATAGAACTTTCAATTTATTAAAATAATATATAATAGATTATTAATCTAATAAAAAATATTATTAAAATTCATATTCAATTACTAGATAAATTAAATCACTTAATTTTATATTAAATTATTTTAAATTATAAATATTTATAATTTAAATTAACTTATTAAATATTTTAATTAAATTTAAATTTTAAAATTAAAATTAAAATTTAACTCATTACTAACTTTTAAACTATACTAAACAAAATGTGTGTAAACAAACAGGACTTGAGATTGTTGCAATCCAAGACAAAGGTGACTCAAACCGACGTTGCTGCTATCGTATCCAACGGCTAGTCAATTTTGAGGTCAAATCATGCGTGCAAATCAAGAGATATGTCGTCCTTATCTAATCTCATTTGCACGTGTATTGATTTTGTCCACGCTAATTCAGTCAAAGTAAAACCCAATCAAGCCCCTGGGTTAGAAAGGGTTTTGGAATTTTGCCCTTTGGACCTTGTTTGATTTGATAGAATTCCAATTGCTTGATTGGCACACGTGGACCCAACTCAAATTATTGAATGACGTGGCAAGCTTTTTTAATTGGTGAACAAGTAAATTTTGGAGCCCGTAATTTTAATACAGTAACATCTTTAATAATCTACCATTTTTACTGTAACAGAGATAATCATCTTTATTTTAATAGAGATAATTGGTGTGTGCGCCTCTTTAAAGTTAAATTAACTTTTTTTGTCTACTCCAATACAACTTATTACAAAATTATTACTCTCTTTTTAAAAATAAATTTATTTATATATACAATAATATCACTATAATTTATACTTTCCTGTTATCTTTATTACACGTAAGATTGGTAAGAATTTACTTTTTTAAAAAAATATTGTGGAGATTAATGTGATTAACAGATCCATGTGTTGAATTTATGCGGGATTCCTCCTTAAATCAAGGGATTGGGCATTTACGTCCACTCCTTGAGTGACTGAACATTTGTCTTCATTAGATTAAAAGAGTTCTTAGATCTATGCCCGATCTCCGGTTCCCTTGGAGTAAACTAATATTTCATTGGGAAGATTGTCAAGCAAACAACTATTGTTGAGTGGCGTTTGACTCCTCTTTGTCAAGAGTTAACGAGGCGGGTGGATGGGTGAGGCAGAAAATTAGAAGAAAAATAATGTTAGATACTTCACGATACAAATTTTTTCCACCGACAACTATGTAGAAGAGCAAATTACAAATTTCAAGGCCTCTAGGGCTCTTCTTGGACAGGTAAACAAATCACAACAACCGGAGGTCTACTAATTTCTGAAGAAAATGTGGGAAATGAAAGAAAAAAAATGATCGGTTTTGCTGGTAAGGTGGCCGCAACCGGACTTGACTAAAATTTTTGAGCGGGCAAAAGTATACATGTCTAAAATTAAATAAATAAATATATATATATATCTAAATGTATTTTTTACCCCTTCTAAATGCATATATTTATAATCACTGATAATGTAAAAATTGTACCTAAACTCAAAAATAATAATAAAAAATATAAGTAAAAGAAAGCGCGTAAAGGGGTAAATTTGACAAAAATGAGTATAAAGAGCAAATAAGTAACGATAGATTTTGTTTTATGAGAATACAAATAAATATTGTTTATTATCCCTTTTTTTTGTTCAATGCCATTTTTGTAAAATATAAGTTTCGTCTTTATATTTTAATCTTTGAAAATTCGTTCAATATTTGAAAATAGTCTATCAACAATATTTTTCTTTCGTTTAAACCATCAATGGACTACCCTAACTTTGAATTTATTTTAGGCCAAAGATCATTTTACCCTGTTAAACTTTCTTCTATATCTTATTTATGTCTTTTAATTTTACAATATATTATTTACACCTTAAACACTAAAACCGTTAACCTACCATTAAATTTACTCTTAAACTATCTAATTTTAAATATCGAACATTTTAAATATTATTATTAGAATGGATATATATTATAAATATATTTAATTTTAGATATTAAATTGAAATATAACTAAATTTTACAAAATTAATTTAAACCATTTGCACAGTTTAACTAAATAAAAAATTACCAATTATGAATAAACAATTTTAAGTTTAGTAGAAATGAATGAATAAACAACTTAAACTTAGTTAGGTTTTAATTACATGCTTGAATAGTTTTTACTAAATTTAAATTATTTATTACAATTAGCAATTTTTATTTAGTTAAGTTGCATAAATTATCTAAATTAAATTTTAAATTTATATTTAAAATTAAATATATTTAATAATATTTATTATTAATTATTATATATTAATTTAAAATTTTAACAATTAACTATTTTAGTAATAATATTTAAAATTAAAAAATTTAGAGGATAAATCTAACAGTAAATTAAAGGTATAACTATTTAAGGGAATAAATGATTGACGCACTGTCAAGTTTAAAAGAATAAATATAATAGGGAAGTAATTTTAAGAAGGTAAGATAATTTTAACTCTTCATTTTAATTTTATTTATAAATTTCCAATATATTTGTATAACTCCTCTGATAGACGGTAAAACTGGAGAACCCAACAACGGCCGGGTGGGAGGGTTCTCCGAAAAAGCTCCGCCACTGCTAGGCGGTGTCGAAGTTTGTGGGGGTCTTTTTCTCTTTTTCTGACGACATTAGGACGGTGAGATCTCATTAAGAAGTAAATCTGACCCAAGTCATGCATGACTTGGACGGCAATGGTGATGTTGATGATGTTGATTTTCCATTGGTCTTAAGCCTATCTATCCAAGTTGTCTATGGATCAAATATCCATTTCCAGTGGGCCATGAACTATATTTTCTTCTCTAACCCCATCTGCCTCCACCAAAAATAAAAAGAAAAAAAGAAAAAAATTGAAAAATGCAAACACGCCCCTGAAATTTTTAGTTTCTCAAACAAGTCCCCAAAATATCAAAATCATTCTCAGAAGCCCCTTCAGCCCACTTGCTGTGCCAAACAGTAACGGATATTAATTCAGCTCATCGCTCATTGACGAAACAGACACGCTTGATTAAGCTCTCAAAAAAAGCTATTTTTACAGGTTCTTAATACTCTAATCTCACAAAATGCACCTTCACTGTCCTTGCATGAGTTTTCTTTGGTTTTCTTAATCTCTCACATTCTAACAACAAACAAACTAGACTCTGCCAAAAGTCCGTTCAAGATACCGGTAGCTTTAAGGACCTAATTCCAAAAATTAAAAGTCCAACTGCTTGCATTGCGAATAAGCTATAGTCAGGGGGTGTTTGCATTTTTCCCAGTATAAGAAACGAGAGAGAGACAGAGACAGAGAGAGGGCATTCAACAAGACCCTTGTGGTAATGATTGATTTTCCTGATATATTTTTCAAACATTTGCCATAAAAATCAATTTGCTTGTAAATGTAAGTATTAATTGTGTGAGAATATGTGTATCTCCCTCTCCCTCTCTCTCTCTCTCTCTCTCTCTATATATATATATATACACGCATATTTTACTTTATTTTTTCTCCTTTCAAATGCTTGCATATGCATACAGCATAGGATACCAGGTGTACATATTCTTCCCTTTTTTACCATTGATAGATGACCCTATTTTATGAACTTCAAAAACTAAAAATAATACCATAACAACGTTGTCAAAATAAAGTATATTCATCAACTTATTACATAAATATGTTCCTTTAATCTTAATCTTTTTGCTTCTAGCCAACCCAATAAAGTTGAAAGTAGTTAGAATCCTTCCATCAAGAAAGTGAGATTCCTCTTTCTTCGTACCTTTCATTCCTCTTATACATCTGTCCAACCAAAACCAACTTTCCCCAGTTCTATCTGGTTAGATATTTTGGGTTTTTTTTTTTTTTTTCGGGGGGGGGGGGGGGCGGCTAAATTACTCTTCCCAGCTCAACTTTGGTCATCAAGTCTACCCTACAGATGAAACATAAAAGCAAGAATATATTCACCACTGCATTTCTACCCTAATCAGTACCTGTACGCACTAATTAATTGTATCAAGAATGAAAATAACCAAGATTTCCCATAATATGTCACCTACGCCTCGAGGCTCTAGGCCTTAAAAGCCAAATGCACACGCCAAAAAAGCCAGGAGAACTTTGACAACCCAATCTCACCCTCCTCGCTAATGAAGGCCACAGGTTGTTCAGAGTCTAGTTTCACTTCAAAATCTAGAGAGTTCTTTAACATCTAAGCTAAAAGCAGAAAGTTTCCAATACAAGCCAGAATTGATTTTTACAGCACAAAAGAAAACTCAGAGCTGAAAGCAGCCACCTGTTACTGTACTGCTTCTGAGTCCTTATCATCACTTCAATTTACACCGAGAAAATATAATTAACAAATATTCCCAGGGACTCTGAAGGAAAATTAAATTTGTACTGACTTAGATAAGTAGTTAGATAAGACTGATAAAACAACAATACACTACAGCCAAATATCAGGTACCAAGAGCTCTTAAGGAGTTAAATCCCCGAAGGTCATTCAAACTGATGGGAAATATTTGTTAAGATTGAAAGGCAGGGAATAGAACTCCTCACTTCTCGGGTCGCTCTTGAAGGACTTGAATCTGTCCCACCAATGCTTTCCCCGGTCTTTCCTTATTCCCTCCTTGTGTATTGTGTTGTCCAGGAAATATGCCAATATTCCGGCAACAAAGGCTTCCGAAGCGAAAGGAACATTAACCATATCATTGAACTGCGCGAGGAAAGAAAGAACAAAAGATTTTTGGTCACTGGAGCTTAGAAGCAACTATAAAAGCATAAAAATGAAAATACAAGGGCTAATGCATCCAAGTGTGAAGCTCAAAAGGACCAAAAGTCAGAAATTTGGGTTTTAGAGCTTTTGATCTTAAGTCTATAAACTGCAAAACCCTATAGCTTTGGATTTTATCAACCTTTTCGGCTTAAAAACCAAATAACTATTCCAAAAATGTAAATAAACAGGTATTTGATTTCCTGGATTTTTGGCCTCCTATGTTTAGTTTTAAGCCCAAAAAGCCAAATGACAGGATTTCACAGCTTTTTGGATTTAAGACTGGAAGCTAAAACACCTTGGCTTTGGGCTTTTCAGGCCATTTCAAAATGTTTGGCGGATAGAATTTTTGGAGCTTCTATGTTCAGTGACCCAAAAAGTACAAAAAAGTTAAATCAAGGTTTATAATTTTCAGGAATTAAGTCAAAATGCTAAAAAATTTCGGGCATTTAACCTTTATAGGCACAGCCAAAGTTGAATGGACAAACAAAAAGCCAAATTCCAGAATTTTGAATTTCTTGACTTAAACTGTATAATCTTGGCTTCTGGCCCTTTTTTTGCAAACACCCTCCTAACAAATCTTTTGAGCTTATTTATTTGAATTTGGAGCCCAAAAGCCCAAAAAGCCCAAAGTCATGATTTTACAGCTTTTAGGCCTAATTTTAGAAGCTATCAAAAGCTGGCTTCTGGCTTTTTTTGGAAACAGAAGGCTGATAACATATAAGCCTAAAAAGACTAGATATAGAACCCCCTATTAGGGTTAATCCAATCTTCAGCATACCCATCTTCCTCCTGTATGAACTGGGCCGCGTCCATTAACGGCAGTGTACCCATTGAAGTATTGGGGTATGGATAAACCCAAGTAGATAGAAAAACCTAATATGAACATATTTCTGAAGCTGTTGAGGTTGCAGTACTGAAGGAAACTTAAGCCCACTGCGCCTGCACACGCAAGTTAAACCAAGTATGATAATGTGCTAGTGCATACCATATAGAGAGAGAGAGAGAGAGAGAGTAGTCATAGGAGACTAACCAACATAACCAAAGAAAATGCAATATAAAGCGGCAACAATAGGTGCTGGAATTGAGGCAAAGACAGCTCCAAATTTACCTGAACATGTAGATTTTATTGATAATTGATTAACAAAAAACATTTTCCGTCACTTGTTCAACAAACATAAATTTAGACGAGCAAAAGGGCCAAAGATGAATTTTTTCTTACTCATAATTGTAACCTCTTTTTGTTAAAAACTCACCGAGAACAGAAAAAAATATCATGAACCCAGCAGAAATTTGCACCACTCTTCTACTGCCAACACGGGTCAAAGCCAAAAGACCAGCATTCTCACTACAGATAAATTGAGTAAACTCATAGGTTAATTCTCTGTAAAATGCCAATACATTATACAAGGATCCATATTAGAATCTTACATAGATACTGAGGATCCATTCACAGTTCCAAACACCCCAGACAGCAGGATGGCTATTCCCTAAGGCAATATATGATAAACAATTAGCTCAAAGCTAATAGAGATTCAAAGTTCATCTGTATATATTTGAAACTTGCATTTCATTGTTTCAGAGAGAAAAATAGAGGAATTTAACCATCGTAAAAATTATCCAGGCAAAGATTCTAGGATAAAAGATCTTGAAATAGCAAAGAAAAGCAAGACCGACCCAGAAGCTAAACCTCCTAGTAATCAGTAACAATAATAGTGCCAACATAAAATTACTAGTAGACTTTAAATTTACCTGCCAACCAACACCTCGGCTAAGAACAGAAGGTGGCATGTGAGTGGCACTGGCATATCTTGAAATAGCAATAAAGCCACCAGTGGACTGTTCATATCATTGAAAACAATCAAGATACAAACCTTTGATGAATTATCATATATAAAATAAGAACCATATGATTGAAGTTCAGTCTGAAACATATTAAAAGCCCACTTTCATGCATATCTATCTGCCCATAAAACCTACCAATCTCAAAGGAAATACTCAGAAGCCATTAAATACTTAAATTCAATTTCTCCACCAAGTGTCATGCACGGGAAGAAAAGAACACAAAAGAGCTATTGTTCATTTCAAAAATTCACTTAGTTGCACTAGCAGAAGAAACAAACCTCTACAAGAGCAACAAAAGAAGTAACCATCATTGCAAAGGCTTCTCCAGCATCAAATGAAGGTGCTCCCCATTGAAAGGGATATGGAACTCTTATCCTGAAATGCAGACACCAGGACCAAAATCTTTATCCTGATAAACCAATCCATGTACCTATTAATACTCTAGATGAAGTAAGCATTAGATCAAAAATGCCTCCCATTGATCACTACTAGTAACTCAAACCTAATGTTTAAATCAAGATTGGCATGATATTATGGACTAATTAACAGGCCAATAAGGAAGAAAACCAGCACGGTTTTAAAGATAATGTCAATTAAAAGTTTAAACAAGAAAGTTAATTTGTAGGTTATAAGCCTCCTATCTAAACCATGAAAGGAAAAAAGAAATGCACATTAAATCAGTACATACTCCATGTATATGTGATTTCATTGGTGAAGAGACTAATAAGGTGTTTGGAATTAGAAAAGGCAGGGCTCTTTAGAACTTCATAAACTAGTTGTTTTTTTTTTCTTTTTTTTTTTTTTGGGGGGGGGGTGTGTTGGGGGGCGCCACACGTCAAGGATTATATGCTAATCCAACCAATTGTAAAAAGCTCAAAAAACCAATTCCTTATAACTTCAAAAACGAAATCTCTTAAAAGAGCTTTTTATTCCAAATCACCATGGAATGTGAGCATCATCATTTTGTGCACATCGTGCTGAATAAATGACTAGAAAATCAACTAGTAGGGGCACATGTGCCTACCAAGGAGCAGCATCAATAAGCCCAGATCGATCGGTACGACAACTTGTCTGTGTTTTTGGAGGTTTACCATTGTAGGCTCCGCCTACAGTTAGTAGGTAAGCATAAACCCACACAATCGCCACCGTAAATATTACAGAGAAACGTAAAAATACAGCTTTCCCTTGTGAAACACGTGTGGCATATACTGCAGAAAACAAGTGATGTATATGAGATGTTAGCAGGTTGCAACTGTAAGTTTGAAATGGGGTTAATAAGTGATCAACATGAATAAGGTGAACAAAATTTGCAACGAATCAATTGAACCTTACCTGTGAGAAAAACACTAAAAGAATAAGTTCTGGAAGCCCAATTTCGATGCATTTAGCAACCTAAACCGCACAATGTCAACAGTTAATATATCCAAAAGAAAATAAGAAGCCTACTTCACATCAATAATAGAATACATACCCCTGGAAAACCAAACTCATAGAGCCCATACCCAGCAAGAGCAACCAAAGGAACAGCTGAGAGTGGGCTTAAGAACCTGAGGTAAAGTAGAAGAGAGACAACATGTAACTGAAAAGTCCATTTTCCATTGATCAAAGTAACTTAGCACATTAATGAATGCAGACCAATAAAAAGTCATCATCAGAGCTTCTACTCTCGATCCCAAAACACTACACAGAAATACAACTACAGAATAAAGAAAGAGAGTTTCATTTGCTAAGAATAGTCTAATTTTTAGGTGTTTCTGTAAACTATGAACCAACCTTGCAACATTACGCCAGAGGCCACTGAAACCCAGCACTATCTGAAGAGTAGAAGCAACAATAAGAGCACCCTGAATAGCCCTCATTGTCCTTTTAAATCTCTGAGAAGGAAATAAAAAATTGACAGTATGGTTAGCATCAAATGTCAGCAAAATTAATCTAACATTCAAATGAGCAACTTCTCCCCTGCTCCCCTGTCCCCTTCAAGTCCCGTTTCCCTCTATTTTCACCAACACGAGTGTGTGCGCACGCGCGCACATGCACACATTTGCAAGGAAAATGCATGTACTTGGATATTCCATATGATCATAATTATTGAGGTTGTGAGTAACACAGGCCATAGTCCCAAAGAAGAAAATAATCCTATTTCTCAACATTCAGATTTAAACCAAAAAGGGGAAAAAAAGGTTGCTGAAATGCAGACATAGTTACAAACTTCAGAGAACAAGACCTGCACAATCTAAGCATGCTATTTGTGTTTAATATAATTTCATGTTAATACAGAGTTTAATTTCCCAAGCAAACACGGCCAGTTATAACAGCAAAGGATATAGGATACAAACTGATATAGGATCTGCAACATCACTGAATCGGCCAGAAAGGATAATTGAAATTGTGGCTGCAACGAATGTATATGACCCTCCAATGACAGCAGGCAATCTAGTCCCAAAAAATGTCTGCAATAGGGTGTTCAATCCAGCAACAAAAAGTAGTGTCTGGATCACTTTTGCTTTCTCCTCCTAGAAGAGCAGCAAACAAGATTCGAGTTAGAGAACAAACTGCAAATTTTAATTAAATAAATAAATAGGCCATCATCAGAATTGAATATTATAACTCTTAGGCCTTACATTCCCGCCCCCCATTTGAGGGACAAGAGCACTGGGAATGATAACTGTTGTGCCAAGCATCACCAAGTAATGTTGAAAGCCAAGAAGGATCGCTTCAGCTGCATAAAGAATGCACAAAAAATTAGGAAACACGGGAGAATCTCAAAATAAAAGACAAAAGAACTAAACTCCTAAGTTACGAAAAAAAGAAGACTGAAAACTTTGTGAGCAAATAGCGTTCAAAGTAGTTACGCTGAAGTAAAGAAGACAAAATTAATTTAACAAAGTCATTAAAGCACAACTTTTTGACCAAAATCAGATTCCTGAAGAAAAGCTTTGAGGTGTATAGTCATAAACAAAGTCAAAATTAGGAAATTATTAAGTTAAAATTGAGAGGATTTTCAATTTAGTGTTTCAGAATCGAGTCAGAATACAATAAGGAGACCCAAAATAAATAAAAAATAAAATATAATACCGCGTGAAAAAGATTCCAAGAAACAAATAGCTCTTAAAATTGGCCGCTATTTACTCGATTACAAGGACAAGAAAGCATTCTGGAACTGTCATAGACTTGTCAGTAGTTAACGCAGCTAAACATACAACTTTAAACCACAAAATTTCTTTTTGAAGACCAAGGACAGTTCTTTATACAAGCAGAAAAGGAAGGGAAAAGAGGCACCAGCAACGAAAGCAGAAAGTCAATAAGCTAAATTCAACTCTGATAGCCCAGAGTACATTGAAGAGGCCTAAGAATTTAAGAAAATTTAAGGAAAAAAGAGTACCAACTAGATTCAAAGAATTAGAAGCCTCGCGTAGCCAGATTAACTCATAGATTCTGATTCTCTCACGCACTCAAATACATATATGTTCATAATAGCCACAGGAATCAACCTATGAATGTGAACTTGAAACGGATGAAAATCGTAAAAATCATAGATTCTGACAAAAAAAGATGGATGCAAGAAACTCACGCCATGGGGGAGGACTGGTAATGCAGTAGGAAACACCAGGAAGCTGTTCCTTGGGTGGGTGCGGCGCTGGCTCGTCCGCCTTTGCCATGTCTTTCTCTTTCTACACCTTCTCTCGCTAAAATATTACTCCTCCAAAAATATATTGAATCTACAAGCAAGCCCACGCAACCAACTCAATGCAAACAACCCAGATCCAAAATCTCTAGAACCCACTGAAATCATGAGAAAATTGAAATAAAAGTGCCAGTAAATAAGTAACTCAGAAGCTCAATCGGTAATTTAACCCATATGTGAAGCCTAATATAATGAACTGAAAAGGTGAAAACAAGGAGAAGCAGATAAAAACAGGGGAAATCATGAGAAAATTTAAGGAACTCCCAAAAATTGAGTAACCCAGAAGCTCAATCAGTAACCCACCAATCATGAACCAATGTGAGGCCGACTATAGTGACGTGGAAATGCGACAACAGGAAAAATCAGAAAATAAAATAGTGGAAATGGTGTAAACCTTAGCTTAAAGGGGCTTAACTGCTGACAGAAACTAGAAAGAGAAGTCCAGAGTGCGGTGGAGTAACCTTGTTGCAAAATTTGCAGAAGGAAATCGAAGTGGGTATGCTAGGGAGTCAACAAAACAAACGGGCCCACTCCCACGAAAGTTCATAAAAAGAGGTGGGACGAGAGAAAAAGAACTTAATTTTTGATGAGGTATTACAAAAACCAAAGTCTAGAAACAGTATAGAAAAGAGTGGGCAAAGAAAAGAAGAAGACAAACGACAGAGCTGTGGGAAGGAGGTGAGGAGCCTTTTCTCTCTCCTGATTCTGACCCGCTATCTTACTGTTTGTTCTCTCTCTGAAAATAAATGGAGAATCTGTGTAACCATTATTTGATAATATTTTCTGATTTTTCCAGGTTTGTCTGTTTACTCTCTCTGCAAAATCCATGTGGCTCGGGTACGTATGCTTCAGCCTTCAGCGGTAGAAAAATAAAATAGTGACGTCAACATTGACAGGTCTAAATTAGCATGACAGAACGACGTCGTTTTATATACAAGCCACAAAAAAAAATTTCTGCCTCCGCCAACAGCAATCACCGTGAAAGGTATTTAGATTTTTAAAAAATCATAAATTAGATCAGCTTATATGAAAAGTCAACTATTGGGGTTTTTGACCTTTTATTTATTATCTGTTTTCGTCTTAAAACATTATATTATAAAAATTTTCAGAAACTCATCGCATTTGAAAGTACATTTTTTGTTGCAACCAAACAGTCCTTAGAGCAAAATCCCGAATCTCAGCTGTTCAAAACAAATCCCGCCCAAGGTGATTAGGGGGAGGCGACGGGAGGGGAGAGCATCCGTTTGTCACGCACCTAATGGTCAATTGAAATGACGAAATTATCCCTTGGGGCAGCGGTTTGTCTACATTGGGGCATCGTGAAACAAACACTCAGCAGCAGGACAGCTGTTCTCAACTGATGCGAAAATTGGGGCGGATGGGAGGATGAAAAGACGAAAACGGCACCGACATATTTCTTTTTCCTTTTTCTTGCAAAAATAAAACAATAATTATACTTTGGGTTACAAATTTATTAATTTGCAACTGGGCCCTTTTTTTCTTCCACGTACAACAGCGTAAAGGAAGACGGTCGATGGGTTAAATTTTAACAAATTAGATAAATTTAAATTTTTTGATTATTAATTTTTATATTTATTGAAAATTTAATAATAATATTTAATTTAATAAAAAAAAAATTTACTTAAATTTCTCCACTAGATATTGTTAATCATATTAAAGTTTTAAATCTTTAATTTAATATAATTTTTACAAATTTAAATTTATCAATATTATATATAATTATTAATTTAATAAATATTATTAAAATTTATATTCAGATTTTAGTAGATCAAATTACTTAATTTTATATTTAATTTATTTATTTTAAATTATAAATATTTACAATTAAATTTAATTTATTAAATATTTTAATCAAATTTAAATTAAAATTTAACTTATTCATAACCTTAACATAAGTAATAAAATATTTGATAAATCAATTTTTGAAATATAAAAATTATTATATCCAGCATTTAATAATGAATTAAATTTATGCAATATTATAAAAAATTAAACTCCAATACAATTCTTTTGTGTCCTCTACTATTGTATTAAATTATTAATTATAATGTATAATTTTACTATTTAAAAATTTTTTAAAAAAAAGCACTGCTAAAATATAGTTGAGCGTGCAAGGAGAATGACTGAAATTAAGGATCTAAGAAAAATTTAATTAGGTGGAAAATAATTATATATATATATAACCCTGAGCATTTATTAGCATTGAATTTTTAATTCGACCAATCTCCCAGCACAACGCCGTGCAGGGTGTCTCACCGACAGAAGTATTTATTCAAGCAAGAAGCATTTACACGTAACTTCAAAATGTAAAACAAAAGATGCAATATACTGTCTCCTTTGTTTAAGATTGTGTATTAACTATTTTAATTAAAAAAATAAATTCAAAACTTATTATTATATTATTAAATTTGTTTTTCTTTGTTTGTTGAAAATACTTCGAATTTCTTTTGGTTGAAGTTGAAAATAATTTTTATTAAAATAGATATATTCTTTTTAACACGTGGCATGTGACACTCTAAAGGGAGAGTCCTCGCTAAGTCTAAAAGAGAGAGGTATATGTGACATCCCAAAAGGGGAGTGTGTGTAATACTCTTAGGTGAATTTCACATCGACAAAACATAGGAAAGATCCTGAACTTATAAGAGATTAGAGACTATTACTGAATAATTTGAGTTTAAGCATTTTGGGCCAGTGGTTTAAGCTCAATAAATTGCTAGGACCAGTGTACTCGAATCGTTACAAATGGTATCAGAGTCACTCCGCATGTAACCTTGAACAGTGGTGAGGCAAATCTCAGCGATAACGCTAAGTCCTAAAGGGAGGATATATATGACACCCCAAAGGGAGAGTTCTCGATGAGTCTCAAAGAGGAGGGTGTATGTGATATCATAAAGAGAGAGTGTGTATGATAGTGTTAGGCGAATCTCATGTTGACAAAATACAAGAGAAATTCTGAATTTATAAAATATTAAAAATTATTACTGAATAACTTAAATTAATATTTTGAATCAAAACTTAACAAATTGTTAAGATTAATAATACTCGAGTCGTTACATGGCAAATATCCAACCGTTGGTTATAATAAAATAATTATAATTATGCGGGTGCTTCGATTTCTGTGATGGATTTGAGTAAGATAAATTAACTAAATTATAAGAAAAAGGTTATTGCATGTGGAGAAAACTAACTAAACGATTCTCGACCACGGCTGCGGAATGCGCGAACCAGAAGCCTCTTCATAAATCTAGAATTTATTAAAATTAAAATAAATAAATTTAGGAAAATTTAAAAAAAGTAATTGACAGATTAGCCTGTGTTTGGTGCACAAGAAATTTAAGTTATTAGTTAAAATTTATAAGATTCTGAAAATATTTAAAAATTTGTTAACTTGTGAATTTATAAAATTTTTTATTTGTTAAAATTTTGAAATTATAAAATTTAAGAGTTTTGATTTATGTTTATTAAAATTTTCCAAATGGGTAGCTCCTGTAATACGTTAAAGGTACATCGGATCGAGCCAAAAAACCCTGAAAGAAGGATTATAATATTTTATTTATGCAGAATTAAATAATTCAATTAAATATTAATTTTAAACAATTAAAATTTTATTAATTATTCTAATATAAATACTTCATTTAATTAGTGTTTAAAAGTTGGACTGAACCGACCGGTCAGACCAACCAGTCAATGTCTGGTCAAAAAATTTGGTTAAGTTTTAGCTAAAAATTGGTAAAAATAAAAAATCATTAATTCTTTTTTATTAAAAAAATCATCAGTCCATCCTTTTTAAATACCTTTAGGATAAATTATTTAATAAAGCGGGAATTTAAATAAAAAAATTATATCCATCATGGATTTGGGGGGCAGAAATGTAATTCAATTTTATGAAAATAAATAATTTTCCCACTAAGATGTGATATGATTATTATCTCATTAATTTATGTTATCATGTTTCAATCACCCATCCATCTTATCCACCTTTAACGGTAGCTGGACGTTATTGCATTATTGTATGCGTGATTGGTCCCATACAATCTCGTCATTATTTCTAAAGTAGGAGGGTAAAACGGTCCACAAGAGGTAGTAAAAATTATTGGGTTTAGACATTTTATGATATTCTATCTTTTTATGATCGCGTGCAAGATTGGCTCTATTCAATTTTTTCTTTACGCGGGGTAATTATACTGTCGGCATCGTGGGGTTGGATAAGCATAAAAAGTTAGTGTTGTTTATTAGGTTTTTTGGGTTGATAAAATATTAATTATTTTAATTATTTTTTATAAAAAGTTTCAAAAATTCGTGCTATTGTAATCCCATAAACATATTAAATGGTTACTGATTTTTAAAAAAATATCAAATTTAAAAATAGTTGAAAGTACTAAAATATAAAATCTAAAAATATTTTAAATTTTTTAAAAAATTAGAAAAAAAATCTATAAATAGATTTTGATAAAATAGTGTAGTGATTATTTATTATATTTTAAATGTTTAAATGGTCTATTTATTTAATTAAAATGTTATATTTGAGATATATTTATCTAATAATAATATTTTAAATTATTTATAATTACACTATTAATTATAAAAATGAGGAGTTTGAA